TAATTTGACATAATTTATCAAAAGGCTATTTTATAGTATTAATATATTTTAAAAACCTTATGTAAACATAGCTGCTAATAATATTCAATTAAAATTTGTCATAAGGCATGTGGTCAGTCTAACACTGCAAATAAAATAAACTTAAACCTGTGAGCTCTCCATAGATCCGTTACCGACGGTTAATAAAGCATTATTTGGAAATTTTGAGGCAATCTTCAGAATGAACTCAATTGGGGCGAACTCTACCGGACAGGCAATGCCGCAACTGTTGAGATGTGCCCTGAGCTGAGCGGGCGGTCCGGCGTATACACAGTGACCCCCCTTTGACAGGACATACAACTGGTCAAAGAGCGATAGGATTAGAGAGTTTGGCTGATGTATTGACGTGACGATTGCCATCTCATGTTTTTCAGTCAAATGTTTCAAACATTGGATTACCTCAATAATTAGAAAAATAATAAAATGATTTTATAAAATAATTTTATACTAAACTATAGTTAAAAATTACGATTTCTGCTGAATTGCTGTCTAAACCACTCGTCGGTTCGTCAATACACAAGAGGTTTGGTTTGGTTTGTTGTACTAATTCCAGACCCACTGTTAGGCGCTTCCGCTCTCCACCACTGCATCGCTGGACAGTTGTGTCCGCGCAGTCCTCCAGAAGCAGTTCAGACAATAGACGCCTGACATTCATCTGGTGATCAAACTTGCCGTCGATGTCCAGCGGCTCGAACTCCTGTCCGAAGCCGAACCCCGACTCGAGTGCCGTTTTGTCGCTTTCAAACGCTGCCGACGGAGCGATATTGACGGGTCTGTCGTAGATGTGACTAATGGTCACTCTATTCTTGATTTTCGAAGCAAACACTAAGGATTCTCTATTTAGTAATGTTGTAATTATATCTTAAAATTAATGAATTGCTGTTAAATATTGTTTTAAACATAAATCTGATTATCAATAGAGTGACCAAATGGTCTATAAATTCTCTGTATTCAGTAAAGTTTAAGATGCAATTCTCATATTTTAATCATGTTTAATCAGATTGATTAATAAATAAGGTAATTTATGGTAAATTATCGATAAATATTAAATTTGATTATTAACTTACAATCTGGTAATTTGAATAATAACTAACCTAACAGTTAATCCATTGAGAATGTGTTCGTTTTCTGATTGCATAATAAAAGCGGTTCTCAATTGAGTTGTTTTGCTGACAAAAAGTTGTGTTTCTGGACTCAGACCTCTGTTTGAGCGCATATTCACGCACTTCAATAGCGTTGACTTTCCCGCACCCGACGGACCCATGAGTGCCGTCAATGAGTGGAAAGTGATTCTACCGTTCAATGCGTGCAAAATAGTGTTCGGCT